GTATTATCCTTTGCATATTAAACTGAAAAACCGCATTTTTAACAATAGATATATAGGTACATTATGTTATTTAATAGGATTCTATCGGTGATATAAGTTTAATAAGTACCTATATATATATATATATAGATAAAAAGTATTATTTTAGATATTATAATATATGAAATATATTGCAGTACTGTACGTCTGTATAGGTACAACATATATTTGTAAAAATACTTTATTCCTAAAGTTTAAAGTTTAAATGGCATAAGTCAAACATTTTGTGTTAGATATCTATACGGTACATACGAAGTTTTACCTATATATAAATACAGATGATGATATATATATATATTTATTTATTTTACTTTAATCGATACTATTATATAATCACTCAAAGTACCTATTATACTGCACATGCAAAAATAGCCTTATAATTCAGACAAAAATATTCCATAATCACACTTTAAAATTTAGCTATAATATAGGTATATGTTATAGCAGGACCCTCACAAGCGGAGGGGGAGCGGTTGGACGTGGAGTACATATGTGGCCTGGCTATTTTTGTGGATCGTTGAAATTACAAGGGCCCAAAATTTGATGTGGGGAGGGGGCTGTGAGTAGTACATAAATTAAACTAATTATTATTATAGGTACTTATATATATATAATAGGTATATATAGTGTTTATGCGTTATGCAATATAGGTACTATTTGATTAGAATACATTTTAATTAATCCGACTGGAAATCGTTTACTCATATTCTGTATATACTATATAATAATAAGTAATAGTTATAAAATAATAATATGTACTTACATAGGTTTTGTAATAGTACATATTATATTAATTATAATTTTTAAATGTAATTTCGGATTACAAAAATATATATTATAATTTTATGTGTGCAGTTTAAAATGTTTCATGTCAATTCTGTTCTTAAATTGTTTACTACTTTATCAGCTATATAAGTATACTCAGTGTAAGAGGCGCGTATGGTAACTGTAGTGGCACATCGCAAGCACTATTGTTTGCACCAAACCGTTTTTTTTTTTATCGGTAGTATTAAAAAAAAATCATTCCCTCTCTTCTGCCACGAACTTTTCCCGTGATTTCGCTCGGGTATTGAATAAAGTGGGTAATATTTTTCCATATATAGTTTATTTATTTGCTTCTCCACCGCCACTCATCCTCCGTCGACTGCTCCGGGCAATAAAAACCAACCACCATGGTATTTTTATTTTTTTTATTTTAGTCAGTTAAGAATTGAGAACACGTAACCGCTGCTACCGCTTTTGGGGTTATAATGGTGTGGGATGTGGTGGCAGGGTGGAAGTACCCAAAAGGCAGTTTGTTCTCATTAAACTTTCTCTCCTCCCGTGGCCCTTCCGTTCTAAGTTTCAAAAACAGTTTATGCCCATGTTCTCCTTCTCTATCTTCCCATCTCTCTTTCTCTCTCTCTGTTTCTCGCTATTCTCTCTCTTTTTATATAAAACTCACACACAGACAAATGTATACATGTATATATATATATTATATATATACTTTCGCTTGCATGAAATTGCTTTTTTCTGCCCTCTACCCCCTCCGGCTGTATAAATATTATACGCGCAGTCTGTACACATATTTTTATTTATTGCCCCGTTTACACGAGAGGTCTATACTGAAAAAACCGCGATTCCATCCACTTTCAACTTATCAATGGAAAACCTCGACTTCAAATCTAAATAAACGACGAAATAAAACGGATATTTATGTGCACAAAGGTGTTTATTATTGTGAAATGAGGAGATCAGCTTACGTGTATAGTGCACATAAAACTTATGTCGCAAAGTGGATGAACAATGACTCTCAAAAATCGTTTTACTCTTAACTTTATAGTAGGTATTTACCACAACGTTAATTTAGTGTTCACACAGCTGTTCAAACATTTTCATAATACCTATATATATTATGTACCTATATATACGCACCTATAAAAAATTAAAAATGGGTATATACCTACAAAGCGGAATTTGAATTAAAATATTACCACTAGGTACACATATACATTATTATAAATATATAGATATTGTATAATATTATATGTACCTAAATACAGTATTAAATAAATAACATAATAATATGATAGTATATATAGGTGTCTGGTGTAGTGTAAAATCAGTTTCCTAACGGAGTATTATTATATATATTATATATTATAATATGGATAATATATTACATATATAATCTATAAAGTAATAGTATAGATAATGATGGTTATAATGATAAAAAAAATATGAATTCGTTGTTATCTATACTCGTATAATATATTATATACCTAATAGAATTTAATTCGTCTTTAAAAAAAAACGAGTTTTTAATAATAATTATATTATTTTCATATTGCTATAAATTTGAGAACCTTTAATAGATTTCCGCATTAAAAAATATTGTTTAGGGATTTTATAAGATATACCTACCTTATAGGTACCTACCTATAATATATTTATAGTTATCACTTACCCACATAATATAATAATAAAGTCGATAAAAAAATTAAATAAAAACAACGCGTGGGGAAGAATATAAAAAGCTCTCGTTTTATATATTAAGCATTAACACGACCAACAATTTTCAGACCGGAAAATTAACAACAAACTGCAGCGCGCAAAAAAGAACACCGCTGCTAGATTTGGTGCGCGCGTGCACGAAAATAAAAAATTATATTTTATACAAATCAACTCACTCGGGTAAAACTTAAAAAAAAAAACTTTTACGTTCTTATCATTTTTTTTCACGTCCATTAATTCAACATAATTAAACCGTATAACACTATATAGTGTACACGTTTAATAAATAAAGCAATATATATATAATAATATTTTTTAGCTAATATAGGTCTATGAATACCTATACCTACAACCTACCTATACCATAAATCATAGCATAATTATTCAGTGTTTGACACTCGCACATATAGATATATACATAACGCGTGACAAAATATAATATATGTTAAACATTTATACATAGCTGGTACCTATGAATATTTATATAGGTAAATATAAACTGTATTGTACAATGTACTTATATATATATGCATACTATATAGGTACATTATATCGTCGGCCTAACTCGCAAATTGTCCTAACTCCAAAAATGCGATTTTCGGATTATCTATTACATTTTCCTATAGATAATAATTTTGTGCATCGTTTAAAATCGTTATCACTCCAATCGGACACTATTATTTATCCATGAAATCAGCTGTTAAAGTTCGAAGGTTTTAATTCATTTTTTTAAAATTAATGAAACGTTTTATTTTTCTCCTGAAAAGTTGTAATTTTAGAGTTAGGACAAATATTGCGAGTTAGGCCGACGATATATTATTTATATTATGCAAATCTTGACGAAGTCAGTTTAAATATTTTTTCAATTAATGCATATATCTAATATTACAGATTACTTATACGGCTATACCACTATATTACTCAAAGCATATCTAATGTTTTGTACCTATGTCTATATATAGGTAACAAAAATACAATTCTCAATTTTGTACCTATATATAGGTATTACGAATTTATCGTATTATATATATTTGAACCTATAACATTTTGGAAAAAAAGAGTTTTTAATATTTATAGTTTGAAGGTGTAAATATTATTATATAATTTTGTAATTATTTATACATATAGATATACCTGTAAACATATATTATTTTTTAATTAAAAAACTCTATATGGCGATTGGATATTTTATTATTATTGTAGATAGTGAATATTATCATATCATATAACTAGTAGGTGTCCATATTGAATCGAATATGAATATTCCTTTAATAATATAAATATAGGACATATATATGACTCTAGGTATATATATAGGTACCTACAATATATATAAATACGCCTGTGTATAGGTAAGCACTTATAATCGTGTATATACATCACACTCGTGAATCGTAACACAGATACATATCTAAATAACTCGACCACGTTTATAGCAAACCTATTATATATAATAGAGCCTAAATTATTATTAGATACACTTCGTAAACAACACGTTGTACTGTTGTTGCAGGTATACTATGATACTGCAATATACTCGTCTCACTAACTCGTTAAAGTTTCCAAAGAGGATGATGCACATAATATAATATTTTAATAATATAATATTATAATAGGTATAGATACTGACTTAGGTGCTCAAACGGTTTTGTGGGTTTTTAATATTTCGTCGTGTTTACCGAAAAGTACAAATTGAAGATAATTATTGCATTATAATAATAATAATATTATCATCATCATTATCATGATCATCGCGCGCGCGGCGATGCCGGTCCCTTTGACGGCGGCGGCGTGGTGCTATATCGGGTAATCACCGACGCGTCGGCGGCGACGGCGGCCGCCCCGGTGTCCCGGGCGGCGGCGGTGGGCGTGTCCTTTGGAGGCCACTCGAGGCGTGTGTGCGTCCGGAGCGAACGAATCAATGAACGACGGCGTCGGCCGCATCGCCGGCGGTGGGGGAACCGCTCGCCATCATTACCCGGCAATTTAGTCGGCGCGCACACACACCCAAACACACACAAATATACGCTTATAGCATTACGGTATATGGGGTCCGCGGTGCCCGTGGCGTCCGTCTGCGGCGTCGGCGGCGGTGCTGGTGGGGCGGCGGCGGCGGTGGTGCGCGCGTGTATTGGGGCGGGCCGGGCCGGCGCGGAGGCACCGAAAAATAGGTGTTAACTATATTTAATAGCCGCACCGATGCCGTACCGTGCGCTCGTCTGCAGTCGCGCCGCGCTACATCACAATCGTCCGGTCGTCGTCGCCGCGTAGTAGTCGTCGTCTGCGCCAGTGTCGCCGTCGCCGTCGTATTCGTGTTCGTCGTCGCCGCGTCCGCACGACTCTGTGATTATAATATAATATTAGATATTATAATATTATTTTATAATATTATACACTGCATATTTTGTGATCACCGTTATTTTGTCGTTACTTTCGTACAAGTGTTATACAATCGTACTTGTGCGATGATGGTGTTGGACTCGGGACAAGCGTCCCCGTCGTTACGGCTGTACGCCGCGGCTGCCGCGGCCGCGGCCAACAGTTACGGTGGTGCGGCCTCCGCGACTTCCGGAGGCGCAGGGCAACAGTCCGGCGGCGGTACAGGAGGCGTCCAGATGCCACCGCATCCGCTGTTCCCGCACTTTGCCGCCCGTTTCCCGCACGGCATGGCGTCCGCGGCCAGTTTCGCGGCCGCAGGCCTGTCGCCGTTTCTCCAGCAACACCACGTCGAGCACGCTGCAGCCCAGCGATACGCGATAGCGGCAGCCGCGGCTGCTGCGGCCGCGAGGAACAACACGGTCGCCGGCCACGTAATGTCCGCGGCCGTGCACCAACAGCAACAGCAACAACAACAACAACAACACCAACACCACCATCACCGGCCCAACTCGGAACCAGCGGGTAAGAAACGGCCTCACCACCACCACCAGCAACAGCAGCAGCAGCAGCACCAATTACTGTTACAGCAGCAACAGCAACAGCAGCAGCAGCAACAACAACAGCAGCTACAGCAGCAGCAACAGCACAGGATTATTAATATGTCGGGCAATCATAGTGACGACAGCGCCTCCGAAAACGGATCACCTAAAAAAGGTTAGTTGTTTTTTACAAACATTATAATATTATTAGATGTAGGTAATGTAGGTATAATAGGTTAGGCATAATACAAACAAAGCAAAAAACAAACTGCTGCAAGTAATCTATAAAACTATTATACTACATTGAGCCCTTTCCCATAAATCCCTCACCGATTTTGTTTTGTATTTAGGTATATACCTACGCATAAATAATTAGGTATTATAGGTATTTTGTAACACTTGGATAATTTATTACGATTATAGGTAAAACCATATTTCACCAAATACGCACAATTAATAAATAGATAGGACGGTAGATCCTAGAATCTAGATAGGTACTACCTATAGTGTGCTTCAGTTGTAGAATCGCGAGTATGAATTTTGAAAACAGAAATGTTTACATATTACATTTATTCATATCAAGATGACAAGATGGTTATAATATCTATACTCATATGAATAATCTTTAAGTTGTAACTTTCACTATCAAGTTTTACGTCGATAGCGTGCGTATATATACCTGCATGCATTTATTAGGTATACAATTACTATAGTTAGGTATAATGGATTAGGTTATATGATGAGTATGGGTACCTATAATATTATGGTATATTCAAGATTTAATAATTATTAAAAACACATTTTCTTAAAATTCAATAAGCAAAAATCAATTCCAGTTTTATGTCGAATGTAAATCGTTGCTATGAATTATTAGCGTGTGAAATTGAAAATATTTAATAGGTATAGGTATTATAATAAGCGAAAAATGTTTTAATTTAGCCCATTCGCGTGATTATCAACGCAAAACGCTATTACATAATATACACATCGATTTAAATAGCGGGTAACCCTAGTAACAATAACTATAGATGGGCAATTATAACTAGGTACATAAAATTGATAATGAATAAATTTTAAGTTTGTATAGGTAATAGACATTAACATTGTAGTAACACATTTAGGTTTATTTTCAGAGCATTCTAATTTCCAGAGAAAACATGTATATATAGATAGGTACCTATAGTTTAATAGATGACCCTATTTACTTTGCAGTACAGTGAAATACAAATCTGTGATAAAAATAAATTTACATAATATGCAGTCTGTACAATTATAAACGTAATACATAGGTATAATACTTATACTATAATATTATAATATACGAAGGTATCAAGTATTCGAGTTATAAATTGAAATAGGTTTATGACTTTGATTAGGCACCTATATCTAAGTACCTATCGTATAAATCGTGAGTATTTTGTTATGAGGTATATAGGTTAGGTTAGGCTTTTTTTATTATTTGAGTTCCAGTGTCTTACTGTATAGGTCTTACGGAAAAGTATAGGTATAAATATATAGGTAATATGTACATATTAGGAGGTAAATATAGTATATTTTCATAGGTATAATATATTATATGGTACCTACATATAGTATATATTTTTCCAAACGAAAATACAGTACTTATATATATGTGATATTATGTATATATACATATAGTTTGTTTGCATTAAATATTAATAGTTTATATACAGCTGGAGAGAGTTCTTATGCATATTATATATAGCAATATAGGTATATAGGTATATATGTTACCTCGTATTTTACCAATATAATATTATTATGTTAGAATTCGATTAGGTACCTAGATACACTTCTTAACTATATCATTTTGGTATGGGTATATAAGTTTTTTTTTTTTTTTTTAAAAAAAGCGCAATTTGTATGTACAATTATAACGATAAATACGAAAATCGCGTGACGGTAAATATCCGAAAATAAAAAGGGGCAGTTATATAAGTGTGCATGTGATCGTTTATAGTATATAGGCAGTTATTACCTATATCGTTTGACCGTGGGAACCCTTACGCGACCGGAAGGGTCCTCCCTTGTAAGACAGGTGTGCAAAATATAGTCATGTCCAAATACTGCAATTTCAAATACCTAGGTAGGTACTGCAGGTAGATTTGTTTTAAGACTGTAATAGGTAAATCGTTTAGTACGAAGGTTGAAGACCGAACAATTTTTGATCTACCATCAACCTTATGTATATATACCTAAAATATATCCTTGTAATATGTCCATATATACCTTTGTATCGCCACAATTATAAATCTGCAGATAATTACATATGTATAAATAACATATGTTTTTTTGTAAATATTAAATATTTTTTTGGACCTTCTAATTGGTATATAAATTGGCTTAAATAATAGACAAAAATATTTATCGAATTCAGCTCTAAATATGAAATGTGATTTAATATTAATAATATTATCTGCGTTATTATTCATAATCATATTTTTTAAGTAAAATAAATTATTTTCACTATAGGTATATGAATTAAATAAATATGCAATCATTGTAACCTTGTTGTAATTATATATAAAAACGACAAAGTTATTCATAAATGTGTGTAATTATATTATATATACTATATAGGTATAACCTACTTAAATTTTAATCGCCAAATAATAATTATGATAAAATTAAAATATTAATATAAAGCGTTTAATTATTAAAAAGTTAAAAAATATATAATAACTAGGCAACACAATAATATTTTACTTGAACTAGTTTTTTTTTAAGATTTGCAAAACATGGAACCTAAAATTATTTACAATAACGGAGGTAAATTTTGTCATGAATCGCACAAAATATTTTCACCTACCTATATACCCAAAATACTATTGGATCTCTCTTTTCAGTTTTAATAATTTTAAGTAAGCATAAAACAATAATCTGTTATAGTTGAAATCAGCGGAAATAAAAATAATCTAAACGTTTTATTACATCGATTATACTATAATAATAAACCAGAATCATAATAAAATTAAAAAAAAAACAAGTATATTATTATGTCTTATAAATTCGACAACTTTTAATTATTATTTGTTTTACGACTTATGTATATTATGATCAAATAAGCTTATAAGCTGGTATAAGTGGCATATGTGGTGTGTATATAGGGTGGGTTTTAGGGGTTCGCCCCCCCCCCAAATGCATTCCTCCCTATACATATGATACTTCACTGATACGGCGGTAACCTTATGAACGGAATAATGCCTTATTTTTTGTTTAATTCGAACATATTTTATCTTCTATTATATTTGATTAAAAATAAACCAAATAACATTAATATTACCTAATCAATTAACTAACATAATATACGAATATATACCTATATAATTACTCAACTATATATGTTAACATTGTTTTACTCTTTGTTGTATCAGATAATTGACAATTAACTATAATAACTGTTCGCTGTATATAGGTATGTACGTAGGTATACATACGAGCGGTGAAATAATTAAAAGATAAAAATATTCAACTAATATGTATAATGTTATAATAATGTAATGTGAACCTTTGCAGTGTTATCGAACGTATAATTTTTCCTTTTTTAAAATCTTATACGTATCTATAGGTACCGAAATCAAATAAATATAATTAATATATATTACCTGCTATTATGTGTAGAAGTTACATAGAGAAAATAATAATTGTCGACTTTAATAGCTATTATTTTATATTATTATTGCTCTAAAATCTAAATTGATTTTCAGTTTTATCTTTTTTATGAGGTTCAATTAGAAAAATTTGATTGTATAACTACAGCATAGGTATATGAGACCTATTAAGTTTGATATACTTATAAATATATACGTGTGTACATAAGAAACAATAGTCTGAACCAGAAAGTTTTTAATTTTTATTGATTCATCAAATTACTATAATCTAAAAAATAAAAATGTAAATCCTTCGTTTTTTATCGTACATATAACTTACACGGATCAATTGATTCCTAAATGTGTTTGCCGTGGATATAATGTAGTCTCTAGAGGCTCGTAATGATGCCCTCTCAGTATATATTATATATACATATATATATATATATATGTATACTGTATAGGTTTAGATGTATACGCTGCAGTGGGCATTCATGTATAATAATATTATATACGAATTATACGCATGTGCGGGGTATGGTCACATCGTAGGTATTTATCATACAGATTGCATAGGCATGTATACCATAGGGTCTCGGACACTATAGGTGTAGGCCCGACGGACATGGTCATCGTACTATTATAATATATAGATAGGTATTATGTGTTAAACACTTACTAACTTATCGTGCGTACTGCTGCAGTCGCGGGTAAATAACCTCTAATAAAATATATGGCACAATTCGTCCAGATCGGCGGATTAAACGCTACACATAATATAAGGTATATAATAATATGTACGCCGAGTGTAACCGGTCATTACTATATTATATACACACATATACTTATTATATATTAATAAAAAAAAATAAAAATCCCCCATATGACGTAGATATATATATACCAACATTATACAGATATATAGGTACCTATATAGTTTAGTGAAACGCGTATATGTACATCGAGCTTACCTATATCATTATATGTTATATAGTACATAGTTTATAATGGTACCTATATAGGTATATGCACACAATAACGTGTTGGGAGATTTAAGAGTTAATGTTAACTGTTTTTCGTGCGGCAGCTATTAAACACAATTATTATTATCGTTATGACGACGTACCTATAATACACAATATATAATATTATGTACCCACGATTGTAGTACACCTATAGGTATATAATATACTGCACATCCGTATATTAATCCTTAAAAAGTGCACACACATTCGCATCATGCATTCAAGCGCGCAGCCAGGATTTTTTTTTTTTTAGGGGAGTGTTTTAGTTCTATATTTAAATATAATGACATTAAGCTTTATACGCATATTTTCGAAGTCGTCAATCTTATTATTAACAAGCGCAGTATCAAAATATATAAAATAGCACCATATTTTGACAACTGCAGCATATTTTGCAGAAATCTGAATCCTAATATAACGTAGGTACAGGTTATATATTTAAAAAAAAAATGTCATGGGGTCCCCATAACATCCCCCTAACTCTACTCCATTGCGATGTAGTTATATTATTTTTCCGTTTTTACCACGACGTGGTTATA